GGTCTTCCTTCCCGTACACGTCACAATGCAGAATGATGAAATGGTAATACGGTTTGTACGCAACTGGTAAGGCATCAGCGCCGTTCGTGTGTTTGTGTCAGGCCGAAATATGAATTGCCTTTTTGCGTGAGAAGAATAATTGTGTGTAGCCTCATATAAGAACTCTGTCTGGCCTTGCGTTAACTTACGTTTCACGTTTCTGTATTTGGTTAAACAATTAGTTTTGTGTTAGCATTGGCAGGACTGGTACAAGATTTGGTTCAAATATTTTTATGGTTGGTTACCTCGGTTTAGTTTACATTATGATAAGTTTGGTTAGGTTCGGTTAATTTAGGTTGGGTTTGGTTGTTTTAGGTTACGGTTGGTAATGTTTTGTTGTATTGGTTTAGGTTAGGTTAGGTTGGGTTTGGTTGTTTTAGGTTACGGTTGGTAATGTTTTGTTGTATTGGTTTAGGTTAGGTTAGGTTGGGTTTGGTTGTTTTAGGTTACGGTTGGTAATGTTTTGTTGTATTGGTTTAGGTTAGGTTAGGTTGGGTTTGGTTGTTTTAGGTTACGGTTGGTAATGTTTTGTTGTATTGGTTTAGGTTATTGTGCGATAGGGTGGGTTATATTAGTTTAGGTTAGTTTAATTTAGGTTTCCTGTATGTTAGGTTATGTTTCGTTAAGTTTAGATATTTCAGGTTATGTTGTGCTAGGTTAGGTTTTGTTTGGTTTTTGAGGTTAGGTGAAGAAGGTTTATGTTAGTTTAGGTTGGGATAGGCTTTTCTCAGGTTAGGCTTTGTTTGTTTTTGGTTTTGTTCTTGGTTTATTATTTCATTCTTCTGGTTTTCCGTTTTTATATCACTTTTTTCGATCTCCTGGCCATTGTTTTTAAGATTTAAGTTCATTTTGTTTATTTCTTAGTATTATTTTTTAATTTTCCCTTAATTTTCTTATTTTTATTTCGTGTTTTTTAGTGTTGTGTTCTTTTCACGTTTTATGTTATGCATATTTCTCGGTTTTTGTAATGTTTTTGGCTGTTAGATCCCGTTGTGTTAATTTGTAAGTCTTCAGGCTAGGTTACCTGAGATTACATTTGTTGAAGTTGACGATCTGTATTTATATACCCCGTGACTCACCCCCTCTTTGAATCTCGGCACTGTTTTGTGATTTGCCCTGGTATCAAGTTTGAAGACGTGCACAAACACATGAATATGTATTTTTATTTCAATTGTGAGACTAACCGAGGTTTGCATTTCATTGACACGATATATCATGAACATCCTTCAAGAAACTTAGGGGTTTAGAGATACTGGAAACAAGGTTTTGTGTAAGGCATTATTTCTGTGCTTACATTCGTCGTAATTCGATTCCGAGGGCCTTTGCCACAAGTGTCCTCCAAGATACTCTTGCCATGAGATCTGAGGTTGTTTGAGCTGTGAAGATGGTGTTCTGGGTTGCAACCCTCACGGCAACGAAAACTAACAAATGTTTACCTTTTAACAGCTCTACAAATTGTTTATCTGTGATTAATTTTTAGGTACGTTTATAACTAGAAGTTGGCCTTCCAGTTTCGTCCACTCCGTCTGTCGGCGTAGAGAATCACTGTACGTATTTTCATTAAATGTGACATTGGGGATTGTTACTAAAATTTGTTGACACGTTGAAATTTTTATCGGAATTGGACGACAGTAAAATGTTCCTGCGTTCGTTTCTGCGCCCAGAGGTGTCCGTACGGGGTATTCACGCATCGGTGCACCCAAACCAGAAATGCGCCCACACCCTCACGTGGGAAATCCATCGTCATTCCCAGGTCATCGGTCCTTGTCTTGGACATTGTATAATTACCAGTGATCTTGTTCTGAGTCCAATGACTCTGAGACACAGGATAGCTTTCTTGTATTGGGTTGTAAACATTAACACTTCTTAATCTGGTAACACCGTAAATAAAAGCAGTTTAATGGACATCCAGCTGGATTTCTTCTTTATTACGCCGTCTCCTTTACAGGAGGTTGGCGACATTATGAACAGGATCCTTCCCTCCTTTTCTCGGACTGGGACCTGTTCATATATGTTCTTGGCAGATGATCCAGAAGTGTTTTGCCATTGCCTTCTTCTGTGTGTGCATGGAGTAATTGTTGGGATGCCACGGAGAAACCGGGGAAGCCCCCGTAGGAAAACTCCGTGTTGCCTAGACCACGGCCTTGCCCAACACAAGTTATAAATTCGGGCACCGCCGGGAATCGAACCCGAGACCCCAGGATTACAAGGCCAGCGTTCTAACCGCTAGACCACCGCGGCTCTGTATATTCTTCATAGCCCGCTGTTATTTTGTCAACATTTCTCTAGCTATCGCAGTTTCCATGTCTCAATCTGTGTTCCAGGAACGTCTTCTCCTGTCGGTGCTACCGCGCCACGTGGCCATGGAGATGAAGGCGGACATCGCCGGGAAGCCGAAGGACACGATGTTCCATAAGATCTACATCCAGCGCCACGAGAACGTCAGGTGAGGACATCCAATGTTAGGAGATCCATGTTGACGGGTGGGGGCTAAACTTTTGTATTTGTCTCATTACTAAAGGGACACATTCGTGTTCGTAAATTGTAAATTAAATAAAGTAGGCCATGGCAGTGTTTCTATTACCAGCTTACTGTCTTAATTTTTTTTTCCGGATATTTGCCAAGTTAACGAGATGAAGACAAAGTCTTTGAAATCATGAAGTTTAAGACGTACTCCACTTTGAAGTTAATATTTTTTAAAAAATGTTATCCTTGATATTTTTCAAGAATTATTTGTGCTGAGACTCGCTTATTGAATAAAAAAAATAATCTGGTATTTAGCTTGTTACAATTTCGTTAAATATACATTACACTGAAGGATGTTGGAAAAAAAAGTAGTTTGTACGAGTGAGATCTATATTTTAGCATTTTATTTGTGAAACAAATAAATGTTCATCTGAGCCGATAGGAAACAAAATTATATTTACGTGAGAAATTTTAATATAGACACAAAACTAAACTACGTTTAAATATGTTGAGTAATTTTCTTATGAAACACGCGGCCTCATTATTATGCCTTCATTTTATGTACCTGGGGCCGGAAATACTGACTGTAGAATGTCTCGTTTCGTGATATCAGGTAATGCAGTGTAGTTACAGGGACGATCTCGCAAATTGTGACTGATTTTCAACGCCTTGGCCTGAGTGCACACACGCGGGAAATTTTAAGGAGTTCCGTAAACGTTCATGGAGTTAATCTTAGAGCTCGTTAACAGAACTTTGAGTGTATACGGCGTTTTAAATGATGAAAGTTTTTTATAACAGCCTACAGCCTCCTTTTTGATCTGATTCACATGTCTAAGAGAATTTTACTTGTTTACGACGAAATACGACGTCTAATCTACTTATATTCGTGTGTCATTCCAAAATCTTTACGTTTATTTACTTGTTTACGACGAAATACGACGTCTAACCTACTGATATTCATTCCAAAATCTTTACGTTTATTTCTTTCCTCTAACAAAATTACTTCATGCAGAATTCGTTTAATTTAATAATCTAAATATTGAATCTTTTACCACCCCTGAGATGTGCAACGGGCGTGGTCAGCCAGTATATTTATCAAAACATCTGTCATTATCAGAGGATATTGCGGAAAATCCAATCAGAGTCTTCATATGCTGAACAAGACCATCGACGATCGATTCACGTGATGCATTTCAAAATAAATAGCATTCAACGCATGTTTTTACATATGAATATGTTTGTAAGCGGTATTTGTTTCATTACTGTAGCGACAGTTTCGAAAAGCTGTTTTCTGTCTGTATTGTTATTGAAAACACGGCTAGCGTTGGTGCTTAACTTAGTTTCGGCTCAGCTGCAGCCATCTGTGGAGCGTAGTTAGAATTGTTTCGAGACTCGATATTCTTCCAGGGTAGCCAACTTCGGCCAGTAACGTGTTTGAAGGGACGAATTGTTCATCCACTTTATTTAATGTGTCTGCAATTTTATTTGCTGATGGTCAGACAAATCATAATGGGTAAAGGGACAATCTATAGATAGTCATATATGAACATGAGGATATAATGATTTAATTTAACTTTAAAATATCAACGAGCCAAACAAAATATCGGGATTCCAATGGAAGAAACTTGCTAGACGCTGAAGAGTAGTGAACAATAATACAACAAAGTCGTGGTTGATTAGTTAGTACTTTTTGTGAGTTCCCTCGGCCTCAAATTATGCGAATATCGTTCCTTCCATACCTTTTTCTAATATTCACGTATCCTATAATCGGAATTAGCTTCAATTAAGGATTAAACAAGATCGCATGTCACAAACGTGCTTGTGTTGGCAACATTGTCAGATCTCCTTCGCCCCCTTATCATGTATTTTTTGTCCAACTGTGCTGAATATCATAAGATGAAATAATGGGTACCTGAAGTGTAGGGTATTTTCACTTTCATGTTTTGGCAATATCGGTGAACCGGTGTGACTTAAAATCTCTACTTTAATATTCCTTACTTACCATGCGTCAGTATTTTTCCGGTTGCTCGGACGACTTGCTTGGTGAGTAGGCCGACGTTATATTATATTTGTCCCGCCATATAGGTGTAGTTTGCTTACAATATACCGCAGGCACCTGTTATCAGAACTAGGTACTTGAAATTTAGGTTTTTGTGGCTGTGAAAACGTAAATTATGTTTTTATGGGTTGTGACGACTTGTAGTCTTGGTGATGGTTACCAGGAAGTTACTTCTAGCTTACGTTGGTAACTATCTACAAATTAACTAGTGTCATAAACCAGAAGTCCACAATTTACATGATCGGGATAATAGTTCAATTGGCAAACCTGGGGACAGCATTTTACTTAGTCTTTAGTTCTTCAAGATTATGGCTACAGAGGTCGTGACGGAATTATTGCGAAATTTTAAAGTTTCGATGCTTTGTATTTCGATTCGATTCTTTATATATTTCGATTCTTTACATATTATATTGTACTAAATATATTTCTTTGTAACAAGAGGCGAATGCAGACAACCACCTGGGTTTAAAAAACAGTTATGTCATCTATGGATTGTACCATGCGGATTTCTGAAGTGAAGTGCTGTTTTGTGTTGCAGCATACTGTTTGCTGATATTTGCGGCTTTACGAGTC